AAATTAATATTATCCACATTTCAATCAAAAACTTGAGACACATTGTATCGTATATAATAATTATTCATTCATATTGATTCACGTATTAGACCCTTTATCGTACAATTTTACGAACTTTATTCAAGGTTGTAATTTTGTTTGAATAATTGCTAGCATTGAGGTTATAATTTTCTTGTGATTATTCCGAGTTAGAAAGGATTCGAGTTTAAATACGACCTAGCCTTTATTGATTGCGAGCATGCTCCGTTATGTTATTTAAAGAACTCCAGATATTAATCAGAACTTGATACAAGTTTAAATGGCTGTGGGTAATTCCGTCGAAGGGATCCTCTCATTTAAATTTTTCTCGAATCCTTTTTTTTTTTATTAATCAAAGGAACGATAACGTGAGAAAATAGGTCGCATAATTTTGGCCCTTAGAAAGAAAGTTAAAAGCGAAAATAGATCATTTGGGGGGAAAGTACGGCGAAGAGAACCATTCACTACTGACCGACTAAGGTGCCATCTAGCGGAGTTTTTTTTTTTTTTTTTAATTCAACTTTCGAAAAGAAATAAACTCCTCGTCCCTAGTGTTTCGATAACGGATCGCTCACAACTTTATTACGAGGTAAAAGTTTCAGTTCAAATCTGTTTCACACAGCGAGCACGCGTTAATTATGCGGTAGATAACTGCTTTTGTAATTCTCTCGATGAAAGTAAATATTGAATATAAAATGGGATGGAATAATACGAGCGTTATTCGGATTTAATTAAAAATCTCACCTCTTCCCTCGATGCTCTACTTTGAATAGCTTCAGCTTTATATTTGTCAGTATGCGTATCTTCACGCCAATATTCATTTTATTATCCATTATCTTTATATTGCTTACAGGTGTTGTTCCACGTGTTTTTTAATATTCCAATATGTACTATATATAAATTTTCCTTAATTAAAACGATAACCACCATTTGTGCAATCGTTTACAAAGTTTCATTGGAATTGAATCAATTTGAAATTAATAATTCTCAGTGGTAATAAATGTTTAACATCCTTTGGTCCAACACTTATATTTGAATGCAATTGCCTTCTGTTAATGAAATCAATAATGTTTCTTTGGTTATTTTTTTTTTTATCTGATTAAAATCGATAAATTATATCATTTAAATTAAACAGGTATATGTTATGCAATGATCGATGTATATTAATAATTATTTCAGTGTGTAATAGTTATTCAAATTTTATAAGTATATTGTTCGAGTTAAAAAATGATAGCAATATTATAGTATAATGTTAATATCTATATGGATGAATTTTTGTTGACATATATTCATATGAAAAAATATACAGCATTTCATTTAACAAATTGAAAATTACTATTGTTTTTCGAAAAATATCATAAATATAAAAAAAATTATTAATATCGTTATATCGATTATATCGAGATTCAAAAGTAAAACTTTTTTTTCTTGTCTATTAGTATATAATATATATTGAAAGAAAGATTGATTAATATTGATATGAATACGTTGTACAACGTCAAATTCTTAAAAAAGTAATTAGATATGTTTCATATTTACGATTATTTTACGATACAGTATTTTTCTGTGTCGATAAAAAATTTTGATATGATCAAAACTCTAGCAATATTTTTATAAATGAAAAATAAAAAAGATCATCTAATATAATAAAAATATAAAAAAAAGCATATGCTCATCTTCAAAAGTAAACATTAATTTTTTTAACGTTATTACATTTTTATGACACCTTCTTTCTATAATATAACATGAAACATAAAATTTTTACAATGTTTTATAATAAATGATTTTACACGATGTAATATTAATCACCTTTTATTATCGTATTGTAACACATTGTCATTAATATTGATCAAAAAAAAATTTTTATTCAAAAGAAAAATATAAGGGAAAATTGATCGTAAAATGGAACAAAATATGGGCACATAAGATAAAACTTCAATCGTTTCTACACGCAAATTGAGATTGCCGATTAGACGAGGTTATTTAGTCCTAAGGAATGCTGTGCGTCCAGAAAGCGATTAGATATTAACCTTAACGTCTCTGTAGTCTCGTTACCCGCAAATTGATTTCACCATTATTCACCGAGAGGATGCGAGACTATCGCGATTTGATGGAAATTACGTCGAACCAAGGTGGTGAGGACTTAACGAAATAAACGACGTTTGATGTGTATATTTGCAATTTTACTTTTGATATATATGACTTTAATGGTATTGCGTGCAATCATAAAAAAAGAAAATACCTAGCTATCTAATTGAAGAAGATTTCAACAGTTTTCCCTTTCACATAAATTCGTATTCGAATTTTCGTTGTGTTTATTATTTGGAAAAAATAAAATGGAAGAGAAGAAAACAAAATTTTTATTTTTTTTAATTTTTCAAATATTTATTATATTTCATATTTTTTTTTTTTTTTGGACAAGAATACAGATAGAATTTTCGAATTTTTTTTTCTTTTTGGAATGTATTTTTGTGAAAATATTATTTTACATAAGAATATTTTTGTTGATTCATCTTTTTTTATATAAATATCAAAAAATTTTTCCTTGGATATGTTCGTTATATAAATAGGGCTATTTGTACGTTCATCAGGATATCTTTCAGGAGATCAATTCGAAGAAATCCAAACGAGAACAAAAACAAGAGTTGATAAGATTGTTTGTTTATTACTATGCTTATTTATTAAGATATAAGCAATTTAAATTTGCATAAAATGAAGCAGTACTCTGTCTCATATTTTATCTTCCTCTCGTATATAAATACTTATGACTTAATAAATAAGTTTAATCGATTTTTGTGTTTGTTTTAGCCTCTGAAATCGGTACTTTAAATGTACGCTCTATGAATATATTTTCTATTTAAACAATAGTTTAATTTTAATCTTATTTGCAATTCATATTGCATTATTAATCCAAATTGCATATTATAAAACTGTGATTCTTATAATATAAATATATATTTTTATTTCGCATCTACACGTATTCCACAAATTATTTCACGTCGTTTCATCGTTATCCACTCATAAATCGCGACTATTTGCAGTGGATGGAAAACAAGAATGTCCGTTTGATTGATGTACTTGATTTTCAAGCAGATATATTTTAATGGAAACGCATTTTGAGAGAATTCCAATTGTTAAGTAATAAATATTTATTTATCATAAACGATATTTTTCTTCCATTGATATTCACTTTAATCTACATATACTTTAAAATAAACAAATTTATCAATTATTCCATTGGAAACGTTCTTCGTCCTATATTATATCATATCAAAAATACGATAATTATATTCATATTGACGATTCTATCGATAGATTATTCCTTTGATTTAATGAAATAAACAATTCTTTATTTAATTAAAATATATTAAATCCTAATCAATGGAGAAATTGATTTTCTTTACGTTACGAATTGAAATTTCTTTTATATTATTAGAAAATTAAATTACGCAATTACTTATATTTGTCAAATCGATCCCAATATTGTCTGTATGCGTAATAGAAATAAATGAATTGAATATTCATATTCACCTGTTGTTAAAACATGGCTACTCTGGATATCTATCGTACAAATTGTTTCATAACTCAAAGAACAATTAAATTAATTTTTGGGAACAAAGTTCGATATTGAGTCCTGATAGTTTGAATGATACCTCGAATATATCTGATTTTATAAAATTTAATTATTATCATGTTAATATGATTTTAAATTCTAAGATAAAAATCGAATTTACAATTTTTCATTTTTCGAAAAATTCTAATACAATGCGCTATTGTGTAATAAAATAATACAATTGTATGGTTTCTATTGGGACACCATTGTGTTTTTACTATATATACATTTTTCTTATCATCAATATATTTTCTAAAATAAAAACTAAATTTTAAATTATTTAATACTTAAGAATAAATAAATAATTAGTAATATAATTGTTAAAATAAGAGTTAAAAAGTTTTTATAAAATAAATTTATTCAACAAATGTTATATAATCACAGTTGAAAAGATTTATGACATAATCATAAAGATTACAATTTTTGAGAAATAATATTTGTTATTTTTATGAATATCAACACTCAGATGATAGAGACTTCGATATAATTTATATATGTAAAATTGAATAATGAATATCTTTTAATCTTTAACTATGATCTGTTTGTACATTTCAAGAATCGTGTAAAATAAATTTTACAGTTTCTAAGGAATGACAATTTTCAAGCCAGTACACTTATCTAATGGATTTTTCCACAAAATATATCAACTTACCCACATTCTTCTTACGAAAGAGTGACTCGATGCTTATTTCAGAAAATATTACGTTGAGAATGATAAAAGAAAGAATTCGACTTATTAAAAAACTTTATAGGGAGAAAAGTTAGAATTTAGAATTTGACCAAAGAGTTTTATTCATACAATCTTGAAGTCAGAATCTTAAAATCAAAGTAAATACAAAATCAAATTTTTAAAGTCACCAGATAAATGTTAATAAATATTCAATGTATATAAGTATATTATAATCATTCTCATTATTATTCAGTTTTAAACCGATTAACGATGAATACTCTGGAAGAAAAGAAACATGAAATGAAATGAATTGTACAATAAGCAAAATTAATAATCTGAATCTAACATATAACATCTAATATATAGCTTTTATTTATTTTCTTGGAACCAAGATGTCAAAATTACTTAATCAAACTAAGAATTTTATTTATTTGCTATTACATATATATAGTCATAATTAAATACAATATAATAATATAAATGAATTATTATTTTATTACATTCTAATACATTTTTGAGTTCTTATAGCTAAGGAATTTCTTTTTACATTTCTTAATGATGATATTCTTGTATGATAATAGTACAATAAGCAAAATCAATAATCTAACATAGCTTTTATTTATTTTCTTGGAACCGAAATGTCAAAATTACTTAATCAAACTAAGAATTTTATTATTTGCTATTACATACACATAATCATAATTAAATACAATATAACAATATAAATCAACTATTATTCTATTACACTACATTCTAATACATTTTTGAGTTCTTATAACTAAGGAATTACTTTTTTTTACATTTCTTGATTGTGGTATCCTTGGAGCAACTTTACCAAACACAACAGCTGCTTCGAATCTGGTGGATGCTACGTTTCTATCTTTCCTCAATTTCCGTCTTAACGATTCATTTCTTGAATCTTCTCCAAAAATTTGTTTCCTCATTCTGCTCGTTTCTCTTTTATGGCGCCTCGCAGTCTGTTTCAAAATTTTGTCAGACTCACAAATTCGCAACCATCTTCGAAATACTTGTGCGACACACAGGAGAGATTCTGGATCTAAATCGCGAAGAATTAATTGCGATACTTCCAAAGGAAGTTGAGAAATAAAATCTACCTTAACAGGTTCCAGCACCCCAATAGAATCTAGAAAATTCCTGAAGAACTCCATTTTGCTTTTATCAATGCAAAAACACGATTAACAATCTGGTAGAAAAATCGGCGTTTATATACCCTCGTCACGAAGGGTAAAGGGGTGGAGCCCCCTTCCGGTCCACCTCTTTGACCAATCATATTCGAGTATTAATACATAATTGATATCCTTATGTATACATAAGATATTTTACATAGAAATTTTTATTGTAGATGTATTGTTACATATTGTTGCGTTTATTATGCACATTTTTAAAGCAAGTACTGTAATGTTAAGTGATAATTTTATTTCTATTTTTATTCATATGCATTGGTCAAATTTACTTTATAAAATTTATTTGCCTCGATGCATAGAAAAATAATTGTATCGTCTTTCGTATAGTTTTAAATATTATTCAAATAATTTTAAACATTATTTACAACATTTGCAATACTTAAAATCTCTCGATTAGCTTTCGTTTGTATTTCTAAACTATCGAAGTGTAGTCAAACGAAATTTCAGCTAGTCATTACATATACTCATTTGCAATTGCAAACATTAAGTCTAGTAATTTAGCGGATAGTTTAAATATTTTCAAATGGAATTTCCAACCGTTTTTCATTTCAAAGTTCTTGTTTACGCGTCCGAAAGAAGAAAACATTTAGCGATCTGAGTGAAGTTTGACCACCATTTCGAATATTATTCTATTAACTCTCTCATCTGAATTAATCAATATTACCTGTGGAACACGAATGAGTTGTAACGAACAATTTTTCCAAATAAATGTCCATCACGTTATCGATTAAATTAATGAACAGGTAATTGAAATAATCAAATTTTAAATTATGTGCCAATTTTGTATATTTTGTATATGTTTTACGTGAAATTGTGATTTTTTTAAAAAGAATTTTTTTTAAATGAACGATATCAGTTTTTAGAAAGTGAATGGCACTGTATCACATTTGATTTATTCGTAAAATACATCCCTCATTTGGATTATAAAAAATTGTTACATTTTTACATAACGATTTTATATATTTTATTTGTTTATTTATTACGTCTTTGAATGAAATGAGAATTATTTTATAAATAAATGAGTGACCAACACATCATTGGTCTTGCAAGATCCAATGATTGAACGTATAAATTAATTATAAAATTCGTTTTTCAACTTTGTTGATAAAAATTATTGTTAAAATTTATTGAAATAAGATGAAATTCATCTCTTTTCTAACGAATTTCATATTTTGAAAAGTAAGTAGCGATCTTTCAAATTGTTTTATTATTTTTCATTTTCAAAGTAAAAACTATATCTTGTAATAAACCATTTGTAACGATTTCAGTTTGCTCAATGAAATATTTTTTTTTTTTTTACCTTTATCGTTTTAAAGTTATCGCTTGACCCAGTTACATGGAAAATTGATTACATCTTGTGCGTTGTTTTTTTTTCTTTTTTTTTTTTTTTATTATCGTCAGTCGTACATTTTATCATATATTCGTGTAATAATCAGAAATATCTTTTTATAAATCATTATACGATTATAAAAATAATCTAATAATAGTATACGTAATGTACATAATCATGAATATGTTATTACTAACGTTATATATCTCATTAGAATCGAAATTTCATTTGGAAATGAATTTCAATTTCCATATATATAAATAATGTAATGATGAGGTTTGCACTATTTTCAACGCTCATTTGTGAAATCTATTACAAATATCGATGGAAATAAATAAGATCTATCTTTAGATAAGATTCTTAGCCCTTAATTTTGAATAACGGCTATCGTGGAGCTGAAATAATTATTTGAAGAAAAATAGTAACATAATTTAATTGTGTTATTTTAATTAAATTAAATTAAGTTAGCAATTAATTAGTATATTAATATAAACAAATATGTTAATTTAAATTAACTTATTGATTATTAAATTTATAATTAAACAACTACAGTCAAAGATTCATTCATCATTTTGTAATTTATCTTTTATTGTCAATTAATAGTATGCAAGATAAAATAAATAAAATAAAATATGTAACCTGGTAAATAATAATTTATTATTAGATTTATTTAAACTATATTTACTGTGTATATAAATCAAATTTTTTTGCGATGAAGAAAAAAGGAGGAAAAATTGATATTAAATTTCTATATTTTTATTGTATCGAATTCTTTCGTGATATTGAATTTTCACCGTCCAATCTTGATGATTTTTCAATATATCAGTTATCATTCTTAGTAACAGATTGTACAGATTTTATTTATCATTGTTCGTTAAAAAGTTATTAACAAAAACTTTTCTTTTTCTTCGAAAAAGTTTAAGTTTAAGCTTTTAAGTTAATTTTACACCAGATTAAAAAGACAAATCGACTAACAATTAAGTTACATGAACTTTTCTTTAATTTTAACTTAAAATTAAACTTAGAATTATATAAATAAATTGATCAAACAAAAATTTAATTTCTGACTTTATGATTTGTAATGATCGTTGATTAGATTAAGTTAATAAACTTTTTAATAATTAAATAAAACAACTACTACGAAATAAAATTTTTACAATATTTCATTCACTATGATACCTTTGACAATTGTATTAAAAAACCAAGAGAACTTATTTACATTTATTTTGGATTACTATAATAAAAAAAGTATAACAAGAAAAGTGAGTACCAATTATATAAAAATATAAATCGCTATTAACGAATAGAGATCATATTCTGCATTATTTTTAGAGTTGCCAATTGAGTTGAAAAGTAAGAGAGAAATGGAGAGAGAATAATTGTGATAACGAAAAAGAGAAAGTAGATATAACATATATAGCTGTACATCGGCGTGCTTGCGTGTTTGTTGTACGCATAGAAGACGAGAGACTATTTAAAACAGATGTAGTAAGCTTCAAAAGATAGATTGGTACATGTAACCAAATGGCTTATTTGTATACTCGTGTAAGATGTTAATTCGTGAAGTATTCTGCATACATATGCATATACATATATACGAATATTCTATACTATAACGCATTAGAAATTTTACGAAAAGAAAAGAAAATGATACTCTATGAGAACGCATAATCGTAATATTTATTCATATATAGATAGATTTATTAGAACTGGAGAAAATAAATAATAGGCAAATATAAATTAATGTTTTTTTATTTCTTAAGAATAATGCAGGATTTACCGAATAAACTTTTTTTTTTGCAACAGTATTTAAATAATATTTCAAATCATTTATTTTCATATCAATAATTTATATAAATATATTATTTTGAAATAAGTATTTTATTGAAATATAAAAAAATAGTATTTCAAATAATATTTCGAATAAACAGTTTTTAAAATTAATATTTTATAATACAATATATTAAAATTATAGTAAATATAATATAATATAATATAAGAAATTAGATTTTATGAGACAAAATGAAAATGTAGAATAAAATTTTTTTCATTTTCAAATAAATTAAATTTAGAATTTTCTTATATGTAAATAAAAATTTCTAATTCTTGATTGAATAAGAAATTAATAAACGATTATTTTACTGATGTGAAAATAAACAACAAAATGTAAAATAAAATTTTATCGTTTAAATTCTTGTTTTTAAAAAAACCAATATAAAAATACCAATCGAGAAATTGTATAATCGATGAATTTTCAATTTTCTCGAAAATTAATTTTTAAATGGAAAAAAATGTATTTTATATTTTTTCTCCTTATTTTCACATTTAGAATAAGTTTTTATCAACAATTTATTCATATTTATAGAGAACTAATTAATTCTATTTGTATTATTAAAATTTTCAAATTTAATTTGAAAACAAATTTACGCAATTTCGTTATTTCTGATTTATATTTTATTTTGAGATCATTTGAAGTATCTTATGTACAAATATATACAATAAGCATATATATATAAATATATGCTTTAAAAAACACATTTTTATTTATAAATAGGAAAATAATTATTATTTACTTTTATAACGCAATATATAAATTTATATATAAAAGTCTTTTGGTCTTTCTCACAAAATATAATTAATCATATTCTTTTGATTATGATCCTTGAATCACGAGAAAATTGGAAAAAAATAAATGATAGTTATATTTTCACAAGCATTAAATGAATTTTGCTGTACGTATATTGCTCTATTTCCAAATTTAAATTCATGAATTTTCGACTCTTCACTCACCACTTTGATTTAAACATGGACAATGGAATATCGTAATGAAGAGGATAGATATACTGATGTGTAGTTTCATTTCCAAATTTAAATTCATGAAGCATGAATGCACGAATTTTCAATTCTTCGCTCATTAGCTTGATTTAGACAACAAACAACAGAATACGAATAATAGAGAGAGAAGTTTGTATCAATTAAATAGAAGAAGTTTTTCATTAATATTATTTTTGTACGTTTGAACTTACAATATAATTTGATAGATTTTTATTAAATCATTTATAACTCTGATTTATAATATTTCATTTCGTAAGATATAAGATTGTAATGTATCTATTATAATTCATTCCAATGCTTGCAAAAACAATTGAAATAATTAAAAGAAAAAATTACTTATTAATCAAATAAATGAAATATGATAAAGAAATATATAATTTATTCCTTAAAATTCTTCTACATGCAAGAAAAGTTGTGAAAAATCATCATCGATTATACATAAATTAAGAGTGCTATCTTTCTTCTGTTAGACAATTCGAAATTTGTTTAAAAAAAAATGAAATATAATCATCGAAAATAATAACAATCATTTTAAGAAAGATAATTATTTATGAAATAGTTTTTTTCAGCGATTTCGATGATCTTGAAATAATGTTTAATATTTGTGAAGTATTTATATAAAATTACAATTTAATTCTAGCATAAACTTAATATAGACTAATCATAGACATTGTACATGAAGTTTTCATTTAAAGAATCCGTATCGATTCTTATTTATGGACAAAAAGTTAACAAAACAAAAAGGTTTAGGTTTGGAGTTATTGCTGTGAAACGGTTGGTTGAACTAATATTATATAATATTAATAAAACTAATAAAACATATATTGCTACAATTATATATAGAATTTCTTATAAAGTTATGGATTATTTTTTACAAATATCTCGAAAAATTGTATAAAACGAGCAATATGTAAAAATAAAGAATGTATATAGAGAAAAATTATTTGGAATATTGAATTTGGCAACATATTTCAAGACCATCAAAATCAGAGAAGAGTATTCTTTTAAATGAAAATCACAAGAAAGTTGTAATTAATTTTTTTTTTTTTGTAAATAACAATAACT